TGGGAGTTTCATAACTCCTCCTGGTTTACTTAGGTACGACTTAACTTGTTTCCAACAACTAGAGCATACCATCTTTCATCCGTTTGGAAATAAAATTTAGGCGTTGGATTAATGATATGTTCCGCTTCGCACCGTCAAACCTTGGACTTGTCGATACCCGTTTAATGAAACACAAAAGATGGTTTCGTCGGGCACCACCCAGGACTTATTTGCTCAAAATAAAAAGTATTGAATTTAAATTCGAGATAAGCTAAAAATGGTCCTAAATATATCCTTTATACCTATTGTCATAATGAAACACTTGTATAATGGATAGACTCGTGGTACCTTTGCTTCAATGTCGTCGGACAATGGTGTTAATTGTGTAATGTATTCTCAAAATCATTTTTTATTCATGTAGACTGTACCTTAGGATTGAATCGTATATACATTTGATCTCACCGTATGTCTCCTGTGTTCCTCCACCGTATTGTTACTACTCGCAACAATTCTTACAGTTAAGAAATACCCGTCGTCAAACTCACAAAACGAGCAAGTTATTGAGATATAAAATCTTGTCGTAACAACTCGCCCGAATTGACAACGTTTGCCTACTTTGTGATGAATTAACGAAAAGCAGCTCTTGTCTATCAAGACTGATTGTATTAGTCACAGTTCTTCAGCCAAATAAGCTAAGCGACTACTCAGACGTTAGACTCACAAATGCCTCAGCTTGTCTTTGTTCAAAAATGTGTTCACCTAAACGATACGAGATTTACGGCTCTTGAGTCCTGCGAGATTCGTAGTTATATAAAATTCAAGTCGTAGCTTCTCAATTCGGAACTCTATATTTTGAGCCGGGTATTTAGAGCCATATAAAAGTACAATATACGGAGCTTGCGTTTCTAACCGCAATATCGAGCTTCAAATATAAATATAGCAAGTCAGTTGAGCTGACTTGATGTGGAAATATTGCTTAAAGCTCCATAACTTTCCTTTACGAATCCTATAGAATCTGACGAAGTGATGCTTATATCCATGTATTGAAGCAGTATATCAATACCTTCACATTCTCTAATGATATTGATACTTTTCATATATACTCCCAACCCAGTCTTTTTCTGGAAGTGTCTAGCCTTTACGCGTACCCTTCTCGTCATAATCTCACTTGCACTCCCTCAAATCGCCTGAAAGCTCTATGAGCCTAGAGAACGACGGCAGCAGTTCTAATTCCACTAGTGGCGATGGCTCTATTGAATTCCCTGATACTCCCAAGATTAATGCTAGTAACAGCGAAGATTCCTGCACATGGTACTCAGGTGGTGTTTGTTCGCGCCCTCGCTCGTGCTTTGACTGCCTCAACGTTGTGGTCCCTGGTCAAGAAGTAAGCAATGCAGTATTTTACGCACATATACTGATTTAATGCTGCAAAACTGATCCTAATTGGTTCATCCTCATTTGTAGTGTGCCGTCAGCGCCTATGGCGAATGTATGAATTCTTACATGCTCTCCAATGTCGGAGGTTATCCAATGAATAGATTCACTTACTGCTCAAATAATGACGCACTTTGCTCGGGCTGTCAAGAGAATTGGATCAGAGACTACCAAGCAGGAATGGCTCTGGAAGCGAACGCTGTGTGTGTAGGCGACAATGGCTGCATCTGTATCGCAGCGTGTGTCGTACCCAATCGCGATGATAGTATTGTGGAGAACTGGTGTATCCCAGCGCTAGCGGGTACTCACTTCCAGTTGGTAGCTGGATTAGTAGCTGGTACCATCGCACTATTCGTAGTTTCTATTGTACTTGCCAAGCGTCAACTAGCACGGCGCCAACAACAAGATACAGCGAACCAAGAAGCACGTAATGCCGCAAACGCAGCTCGTCGAGCAGCACGTCGACCTGCAGCTGTTGCTCGCTTACCTCAATTGACCTTATCGGGTTGGACAGGTATGCGCGAGAAACTCGTTTCTAACGAACAGATCCGATTGGCGGGAGGAAGTACAACAACAGTGCCATCACTAGCAACTTCATCATCTGTACCATCTCCTACTGAAGAACAGGGGGACGCTTACCGAGAAATATTGCCTCGAGAGGACATCATACGCCGCGAAATGTAAGATTTCACCTTGCTGAATTTATACCATAATTCCGCTGAATTGTAATTTATTAGTAGTGTAATTTCCCATATAATTGTCATTATTTTTTTTCTTTTTTAAAAATAAATATATAGTTGTGACAGACAAAAAAAAGTCGCCCAACGAATTGTTGAAACCTTTTATAAAAGGTAGTTTCTCTTCACTAAATATATTTGGCGTAAGGGTATTTTTCTTGCTTCTACAGAGATAATAAATACGATTCGCTTGAAGAAAATCACATGTCTAAGCTAATGGGCAGGAATAAATGGCTTATCATAGAGATAAAGACTTTGTGATTCATGGATAAATTATAATAGTAAAGTCTGTGACGTTTTGAAAGAATAAGGTTTGCACATTCAATACTTTAATCTTTTTAGTGGACTTTCGTTTGCAAACTTTGTGCTCGTAAACTCGGAATGATTGATGCCACATGGACCAAATGATTAATAAACGACTCAAGACTATTTCAAACCACATTTGAACCGTTGTGCTGTAAAGTTGCAGTTGATACGCTCCCACCAGCCGATACTTCCCTTTTTTACGGCTGTACTTCTCAGGTGCGAACCGTAGAAGAATGGTGCAAATGTCTTCCATCATCAAATTTAACCAGTTTATACATTTATATAACTGGTAGGTATGTAACACCATTACCTGCATGGTCACATGAAACATACGATAAGTGTACCTTTAATAGATTCACTTAAAGTGCTTTGCATCTTCAGCCATTTTCCTTACCCTCTTCGCATCAAGACATTTACGTTCTGATGCTATGTCTACCATTTACTCAAAAGCCAGCGAAAATGTGTGTATGTGGAAGCAGCAGAGTTCAGACGTCTGCGACTCGCCTCGGTCATGTTATGATTGTCTCAATACACCTGTGGGTGATGGTATAGACTGCACTATTACTAGTGCGGGGTTGTGCACTACCTTAGACGAGTACCTGTGGCAAGAAGACTACCGTCTTAATCGTAGTGATACTACTTCGCACTATTTTCCTTCGACCAATACAACCTATTGCGACATAAATGATAGTGTGTGTACGAAATGCCGTTCAAGCCAATTTAAAGAATCAGCATCTCAATTCTGTGTCGGATTGGACGGTTGTGTATGTGTGAGTCTTTGCGAGTCACCCGATTATACTACCACGATTGCAGCTAAATACTGTGCAACGCTAGACTTTGAGACCGCAGACGGTGAGAGTAGCTCATTGACCGATACCTTTATCGTCCTCACTCTTGGATTTATAATTCCCGTAATCGTGTACCATTCGTATGCTCGTCGTGTGCGAAATCGTCTTGTCCACGAAGAGATACACAACGATCGAAGGGCTGTTAAAGGTCCTGTCATGCCACTTGTGGGCTGGAAGAAGCATCGTGCTGACCTTATGGCAAATCAGAGAATCATTATGTCGGTCGATTCAGGAGTTGTGGCTTCTAAATCGGTTATAGAAGGACATGTGAGCGGAAATGCGACTATTGACACTTCACTATCAACACTCTCGGCTTCGACTGTCTCGATCGAGCGTGAAGATTCGTTGGCTGATCTGACGAGTTCTGGAAGATGTTTATCAAGCTCTAATACTGTCAGTATGGAAACCCATCGACAGAGCATGCCAATCATGAGCTGGAGTGAAGAAAGTGTTTTGGATGAAAATGACATGATTGGAGCGCAATTCACTCAGCTGGAAGACCACATCGTCTAGTGAATATTTTTTTTATCAGCTGTGCGTGTTGTTCGACACTGCAGGTCAGAGTGAGTTAGCAAGGATCTAAACTTCTGGTATGGACAACAAAGCCAACCACATCTTTGCCAAAGCGAGAGAGACCACATGAAGTCAACTACATTCCATAAATCACTGCATCAAAACGGTCATGAAGAAGCTGGCAATGCAGCGTCGTGACAGCCATGGAAGCGATCTCGTACTGGGTGATACTCGCTATTGTGACGATGCCATTTGGCCTGTTCACAGGCATGCACAGTGATTTATCGTGTTTGCTATCATCAGTTAAACAAATTTCTTAATCTGCGTTTAGTAATCGTTAGAGAATTTATTATCATAATGTAATCGAGTGATTTTTCAAGATGTGTACACAAGCTTACGTCTATTAGTTAGAAGGGTCGTAGTATTCTCCATGAGGCAAACTTCTACACCAGCATCGACTAGTTATGTGTTTAGAAATCAAGATGATTAGGCAGGCACTAATAAACCCTTTAACAAGGAGAGCACAAGGCCCTGGCTCAGTTTTTCGTCACATTTAGGACAACAAACAAATCTATTAGCGCTGTAAAAGCAATGATCACTGCCAGGCTGCTTCTACATACGCACAATTTCCAGTAGCGACGATTGACTACCGCATCAATCATGCAATGAGCGGAAAGCAAGAAGAACATAGGATCCATGCGCATATTTAAATACGGCAGCAAAGGTTTTTTATCAGTTGAAAGTCCTGTTCGCGTCCAATCATGGCCAATAGCTTTCAAGCTGTCGGAGTTTCTTAGTTTTATTTGCTTTAACTTCCTTCTATCGACAAGATATGAGTTTTGATCAATTTATTGATCACGCATAAGATCTGGTAATCTAAGTACTTCAAATATCGTTGGTCTGGCTGTATTAAGTAAAGTTAGGGCATTCGTTGTATGATGAATGTATAAATCATACACGTAACCTACGTGATTTGACGAATGGTTATTGCTATCAAGGAGTAACTGACCTCGTGAAGTATGTTTGAGTCCAAGATTTGTAAGAAGAGCTGAGGATAAGGAATGAGGAATCTGCTCTTTGGACTTATATTATACGTCGTATCATGCATTGCTGTATTGACCTTTCGACAAATATGCAATACGTCGCGTCTTTCTATACCAGCAAATTAATATTAGGCTTCTTACTCGAAGACTAAATCGAGCATCACATATTTTTCGTGCTCCCACAGACACGTAGTAGAGGCGTTCGTGCTTCATCAGTCCCATATCAGTGGCGCCCCGAAAGAGTTAAGTAGCAATATCAATAACAATGTGCCTATTGCAACACTTGATAAGTATATCCACGGCGAACACGAGAACACACAATTTTAATTTCAGGTTGTGCAGGCAGTAAAAAAGGTTGCGGCTTTCTACTATAGATATTTGATTTATCCTTTCGAATGCATATCTCGCAAAGCTCCAAGTGTGCGAGAATTTTTTTTTAAGAAATTATACAAAAAAAAATGTCTAAGTTTTTTTTGTGCTGGTGTTTCTAAGCGTAAGTTAGTCAAACAGTTTTGTGGAACCTCAGCAATCAACACGAGCAGCATTTTGGCGCCGTGAGGATGTTTCGTCTTATATTTCTAGGATTGAGCCCGTTTGTGCACTCTCGACAATTTTTCAGTTCGATAGTGAAGACATCAATCACAAATAGAAAGTCATCTCCATGAAAAAAATTGAGGTTTCGCCGTATGGCAAATTACGTATCTATGCGATCATATCATAAAGTTCGTATTCTGCAACTTGCAGGAATTGTAGACCAGAGGTAGGCAGGTAAACACCCTCTTGGATATAGTCTCAGCTTTGATTTCGGTAAGTCAGTTTTATAGGCCACGCTCGGCTCCAACGCTGTCACTCGATGAATTTCCAGTTCGAATGACCGAAGACGAAGTAGTGGAGGCGGTGGCACGTCGGCAGCTTGAAAGGCTCCTGCTTCTGCTACTTCGACATCGTTGTCTAGCAACAGCAATAGTAACAGTGTTGGTTCAGTGGATGCAGATAGAGCGTGTTACGCTACAAGGAACCTATCTTTCTTTTAAAAAGATACGATTGTTAATTGGCAGCTTTTCCAAGGTGTCGAAAATATGTGAACGATAAGGGTATGAATTCGTCGCATGTATCGGCTAACATATGCTTGAAATGACCATCCCGTTGTTTGACTAGTCAATACTTTGGTATTGCTCACCTCGATGATGTTTGGAAGTTGATCAAAGAGTCACGCAGCATTGTTTCAGTCGCTTGAAAGCACAAGACCGATAAAGCTCACGTTCATAGTTGTGGTTTGCGTAAATTTTGAGCAAAGCATTCATTTTTAGTATGAATCGATCATATCAAAAACCATGGATATGGCTTCGTCGTTTGTCCATGATAATACAATCGCAAATCGTGGCTTTCGATGACAGAGATGGGAATATTTTTTAGTGTTTTTAGGATGAGAATGTGTCTAGCCTTTTTAATATCAAAGGAGTGCAAGCATCAAAAGCAAACACTCCACAAGCTAATCGTTTAGAGCAGAAACCATCATGTTTTGCACAATTTTAAAACTTTACGTCAAGGTGATACTGTCGATAGATAGATACTTTGCAAAAAAATATGCGCTGGATTATTCGCAGTACTTGAGGTGTCTGACGCGTACTCACATATTTACATAATAGCTATCATATGATGTTATCGCGTAACCAGCACAAAAATGTTACTTAGCTTTTCGTTTTTAAAACAGTATCGTGGGTTGCAGTAGGTATCCGCATCAACAGCAAGGGATGAAGCCAAGACGTACGCTGATAGTCTAAACGTGATGTTGCTGGATTGTCTGAGCATTGTGGACAGTCATCGGGACGCGGATAACCGGTTTGATGTTACTAAGGTTCCGAATATTGCCAATTTATCACTTAGTTTTTTGGTATGCTGCAAGCTAAACCTTCATCGACTCGAAACATGATTTTAAGGTTTGTCGCACAGTAACAATGACTGAGCCTTTGGTACGAACACGCAGACAGTGCGACAAGGCCTAGCGGCTTCACTATGTCTTTCGTACCCACCTCGGACTAATCGAATAAAGTAATTTGAAACTGTACTTATGTCCCTGTATTTGGTGTGGCAGCTGGTTATTTGAGAATTCTTTCAATAATCAACACTCACAACCCCCCCAGATGCTAGAAATTCTGCGCCATTCATGGTTTTTCGACTTGATTCATACATTTAAATGTTCAGTGACTCAATGGCATCTGCTAGCTGGCTATTCTTCGCTTGAACTATGGGTGTCAAATACTTGTTTGATGCATTAACTTAAACACCATATATTCATGTATGTGTCGCATTTTTCTACAAATGCGACTGGTTCTGGGAGCACCCACATTGATGAAGGCTTGAAGACCACAGCTGGGATGATTTCCTCGAATGTTGGTGATTCTTGCACTTGGTATGCCGCTGGAAAGTGTTCTCGACCGCGGACTTGCTACGATTGTCTTAATGTCAAGATCAATTCGACAGTGTGTGCTATTATGCCCAATGGAATGTGTATGAGTCTAGACAATAATCTGCCCATTTTAAAGAGAGAAGACAAACTTTACTTGTCCAGTAAGAGCACATACTGCAAAGTGGATGATGCTGCGTGTACAGCATGCACTACAGAGTGGCTTGCCGATTACAGCCGTTCAGGCACAATTCAGACATCCGCAGACTGTACAGGTCTCGACGGTTGTATTTGTCTCGCGCGTTGTGAGAATCCCAATTGGAAAACATCCATTTTGACTGATCAGTGTCCTCACGGAAAACTGCAGTCCACCGGCAGGACACCGCCACAAATTGGATTTGCTCTTATTGTTGGTATCGCACTCGGGATCTTGCTGGGCATTTGGGCTCTTAAACTGCTCGTACGCTGTCGCGAAAGACGCTGGAGTCGAGAGCGTTCAGCTCCTCGTACTTCACATACTCACGAGCCTCAGACGAGGCCTTTGCTCACATTGACTGGCTGGAAGGCTTTTCGCCAAAAGTGGATTGAAATTGAAGCGTTAAAAGGTGCTAACGTAGCAGTCCTTGAGTTACAAGAACAAAATTCAACTCCAGTCGATGCTGATATTGGAAGAGAGTGCATATCATCCTATGGTATTGATTCTGTGGCTATCTTATGAGGTGTAAGAGTTTTATGAAATGCAGAATATATATATTAAGACTTTTTAACAAAAAAGAGTTATATCAAACAACACTCGCTAATTTTGTTACTTTATGAATGTGATTCCGCTGCTTTTGACTTTTATCAACGTTCTCGACTGCGTTGTTCTCTTGATTTTCGCAGTCAGCTTGACCTTACAGTGTTGATGTTGTTACCACTTGACCGACGTCGACCGGTGCTTGATACGGCAGTAAAAGGATGCTGTGGATCCTCAAACTCGATTGAGAACCTTGCTACCTGCAAAGCCGAAAGTCGTGTCGGCTGTGTATAAAAGCAATCATCTTTTGCCAATTCTTCTACCTCTATAGCTGCAGAAGTCACCTTCTTTTCATTGTTCCATACGATCTCCTGAGTCGCCATGACGCTAACACGATGAGTTTTCCAGCCCACAAGCGGAAGTAAAGGACGTTTCGAAGACTCCAAATTGCAATTTGTTTCCAGCGCCACATAACGAGCACGTGATCGAAACACCCGCATGATATGCTTTGATACGTAGACGTCACAAACGCTCACAATTGTCTTAGGCGCCGACTACACTTGAGCGACTCGTCGGGACTTAACCGTTTCAAACTGGGACAGATCTTGAAATTATCGCTGATATGATAGATGGTTTCGCAATCAAAACGGCACGAATTTTTGACTATTCTAATTCAATGATGATTGTCTTCGTGCCTTAGAAAACTTACTGAAGTACACAATCACACCGTAACTATCTCGCACTTGACGACAACGCTCAAAACCAATTGTGTTCGAAGCACAAGTATTTTAATTTTGCTGGCTCGAAAGCAGCCTCTAATCTCTTCCACGGACATTACAAAGCCAGTGAAACCATTACTTATTATTTACCTTAGAGAGCTCTTAACAAAATATCAAGCGGATGGAATTGCAAACGTGGCGCCAACATTGCTTTTGTACTCGTTATGTCGCGTAGTCAGTATTCAAAGCGATGTCTAACCCTTGGATATTCGAGCAGATTGAAAACTGAAAATCAAGCTCAATGATCTAGGGATGCAGAAATACCAGAAACAAGATATAAGGTTCTTTAGAGAGCTTTATAACTAGTTCACTTCATCCAAAGATATACAAGAGAAATTAGAAGCAGACGGTACCTGCAAAAAAATTGGAAGGAAGTGCGAGTGGATGTGTCAAAATTTTAATCTTGTATGCTTACAAATATTCAAGCCTCGGTGCATAATTGGTTCCAGATGTATCGTTAAATTCAAGCTCAAAATAATCCGAAAAAAAGTCTAAATTGAATATAAGATCGCATAATAGCTTAGTGTAAATTTTACTTTAAAGCAAGAACGAAGATTGGTCTTAAAAGGAACACTTTACCTATGTAATGAATGCTTGAGCGGGAAATTATCCACGTTGTTCGTGTGAGTGAAGTCCACCTTTTGTCCTACTTGCTTCGATGTTATTGTATTGAACACTGGGTAGTAAGCTCTATGCCGCACGGCATCTTTTCGTCCACCTGGTTGGGACACGTCAGTGAGTCAGGCTTTGCAATGATACTTTTTTTATCTTTTGAACATGAAGCTCTTACATAATTGAAGGAGGTCGTTAATCCTGCAATCGTCGTTTGTAACCCCGCGCAAAGAATTTTCGCTGCGATCCATATGTCTGCACGTTTAGCAGCAATGACCACTGCCTCTCTTTGTCCTCGTCTCAAATTGCTCGTATGCTTTATTTCTGCTCTATACTTGTGCTATCAAGTCTTCATTCAGAAACCCATTTGCTTGCGTAATGATAGAGAACAAAGTGCCCTGAATGTCGTATGACGATGCTTGAGTTAATGTTAGTGTATTAATATGCAACATTGTATGTGCCCTATATAAAGCATTTGACGATATATACGCACTCCATAATAAACGTGCCCCGACTTTTTTGGAACAGTAAATTTTAATATACTGGTGTCAACTTGTAAGAAGCAGTAAATTTTATTAAACTGGTGTCAACTTGTAAAGAACATTAGAAAAAAATTATACTGGTGTCAACTTGTAAAGAACATTAACAATTTTATACTAGTGTCAACTTGTAAAATTAAAACACTCCCTTATGACGGAATCATCCATCAATGAATTGTTCATGTGAAAATATTTTAAGGCATAAAATAAGTCCACTTAGCCAAAAATGTAAATCGATTTGTGCTGAATTCAAATTGTTATCTTGTAATTTAACAAAGCAGAAAATAATCTGAAAACTGCGCCCTGATAAGAAAGAAACTTTATAGCCTGCCAATTTTCATTATAATTAATAGCATTTTAAAGTTCAATAAAGCTTCTTTCTTAGCTAATGTAGTCGAAAAACTCAAGTTAGCTGACAAATCTTACAATTAATCGCTTTGAATATATATGTACACGAAGTGAAGTAAGCGTATAATGATAGCAGGATGAGCTCTTAAGACCATGTAACTTGCTCAAAAAAGAAGGACATAATGGTTTCAGGATTCAACTGCGCGTGTAACGGGGTTACACGTACCCTGGTAACAGGGGTGTGTGCTAAACGAGATGTGCATAGCGTGACCACACCCAAACAAGAATACGGTACGGGGCTAGGTAGCCAGTAGTTATGCATGTATTGAGACTTTAGTATATATATTTAGTATATCTAGAAAAATCTAAACTTTTAAAATTAGGATAAAAAAAATGAAAATCAGTTCTGGAGTTTAAACCGAAGAGTTGAGTAAGGCGATAATTACTCTTGGAGTAAGCGGATTGCGATCCGCCAACTCATACTTGGTTCTTGTAAAGAACGAAGGTCGGTGACCTAAAGTACGCTTCCTCAAGCGCTAAGCTACGACAGCCCCGCTGCAGCGCGGCTCAATGTTAACAGTCGTCGTTTGCCACACCGCCGTGAACTAAGACTTCTTCACCGCGGCGGCTGATAATATAGAGAAAGACTGTACCTTAACGTCAGTCAGACCCGCATCCGCAGTGTGTACATCACATCTTGGCGAGTAAGACGAGAATAGTCATGCATCTGAACCAATGGATGGCCGTGTTCGCCCCACACTTGTCTCCTTAATAAGTCTCCGGAGATCAAAGATTTAGATTCAGAGTATGTGTGTAAATCCTCAACAAAAACCCAACTTAATGTATATGACGAGATAGGAGCACGGGAGCATCAGACGCATTATTCAAAAACACGTCAATTGGTTTGACAAAGATTCTGCTCAATAATCAGTTATAATTTGAGATGCAACGGTGTCGCCGCGCAATATGCACAGATGAAGCTTCGTCCGAAATAAACGCGTTGGCAAACCTATAAAGGCGAAGTTCTCGATTGACGCGAAACTCAAACGAGAGTCCTTCAGGTGTCTTGAATATTACTTTGCTTTGATTTTGTAAAAGTGATCAACAATTAAGATTGAGCTGCGACCAAAAGTAAAAATTTAACAAGATTCCATACAAAACTGCATCTATTACCCGATGAGCGGCTAGTAGCCCGCATGTACCACATACCTCTACGTCACGAAATCTCATATCTTCACAAATCCCAAATCTTAGGGATTAATGCATTTCACAATTGCTTTTGCATTATTAGACTGGATGAGAGTTTCGTACGATCATACGGTGTTGCATTCCATACAATCGTATCAAAAGGTGTGTGTAAACAATAGTTCCGTAACTACAATGTAACCCCGCTTCATAAAATATAGACCGCGCCGGGGCTCACCCTTCTTTTGGCTTTAAGAGACACGCGCAAAGATGAACGCTCAACTAGCAGCCCAACTTTTGCCTTCTCACATCCTGCTAGCTTCCAAAAATGGCGCGGTCTTTCTGGCCGGCGCATTACACGCATTTGCTTGTGTATATATTGTTTACCGATAGGAGCTATCCCCATTGGCTATTCGAATCCTGACCAGAAATCTCGGCCTCACTCAAATTTATACGTCTCAGCTATCCACGGGAGAAGTAGTGCTTACTGCGCTCAACATTCTCTTAACACGAGTTGCTGATTTTTATGCCCTTTTTTAATGACAGAAGATGCTGCGATATTTCTCTGTGCATTTCACAACGATATTCAACAGTGGGCTGAAACAGCAAAAAAGGTCGCTTAGCATGTTATTTTTAATTTCACATAAAATCACTTCTCAGGATTGCTACGTACGCTTAAGGCAGCAACGGTTGAGTTAGTTATGCCCTTCGTGGAAATGTACTTTCAGAACTTCATGATTTTGTCAGTGACAGTGACTACCCTTCCAATTTGCGCACTTGTTCGAGAAACAGTGGTGTCTACACCGCCTCAATGCCTTACGAACCCGCTTCAGTAAAGCGGACTTCCTACTACGGCGTCTGTCTGCTAACCGACGAGGCAGGGTTGCCCGTCGCGCCACATTTTCGACTTAGTGAATGTAGTCCGCCCTTGAGTTAAGCGTAACATTTAAACGGTAGCTGTAACATCTGACTGGTACGGGCGAGAGACGTTAAAAATAGCAAAATGTGAAGGTCATGGGAGCTCATGTTGACGTTCACGCCGTGTTTGTATTTCACAGAGGATCGTAAGTGGTCACAGCACCATGATAATCATGACGGATTGGTGCTTTGAAAATTCATGGGCTCAACAAATGAAGACATTCACCAGATATCGTTCAATCCCTAGCGTATCACGGCTCCGATGAGCACAATATTGATTAGAAGATATCACTTGTAACTATGGCTCACTAATACATTGAAGACATTCATTGTCATCGAGTAGAGCTGCCGGAGGTTTATTCATAGGCTGCTTGTTCTCGCAAGCACTCTCGATTGTTGCGACACGCCGACTCTTCCCACAAGAAACGGTGTGCGTCCAAGGTAGAGTTTGATCAGATTCAGAATTCGGTCACTGAGACATCCCATCACACTGCAACTTAAATCAGCCTCCCTGCTTAGGGACGAGATAGACCAGATGAAAGAATAATATCGACGTTACTCCGTCGACAACATGGCTCTGAACACCTGCCTGGCCCGCATGGGAAAAATGATTCCATGGCATCTGCATCGGGGCTGCCGTAGCTTTGCACTTAGAGGAAGCGTAAGTTAGGTCACCGACCTTTCGTTCTATACTTGAAACAAGTGCGAGGTTAGCGGATAGCAATCCGCTTACTCCAAGAGTAATTACAACCTTGACCCAAGGCTAATTAACTCTTCCGTTTTAATTCAAAATGACTTTATTTATTTTTATCTGCGGCGAAGCCGCCTAATTTTAAATGCATAGATTTTTTTTTAAATATATGTATAGTAGAATCTAAATACATGTCTAACTACTGGCTATCCAGCTTCGCCTTGTTTGGGTGTGGTCACACCAGGCCCATCTGGTATGACACACACACTTGTTACCAGAGTATGTGTACCCCGTTACAGCATCTGTGGGCCCATGTAAATACAAGGATGTGTTTGCGTTTTTTGTAGTAATCGTAAAACTCTAACCCCACGTTCTTACAACTGCAAATGGATCGATACAGCGCGGTCGCAGCTTAATCTTATTTGCCGCAGACACTGCGTCCGTCAGTCATCCAATATGAAGAGTTAGCGTCGAACAGCTCATTTGCTCCTCTATACCTTCGTGCGTTGTTTCCTGCCTCTGGAATTGATGAGCTGCTAATGTTGCTGTCTCCAAGCAATTGTGTCGCGCAGCATGTGTATGATGCTCAGTTCCACTGAGATAAAATATTTGATAATGCTACCAGGTGTAGATGGTCTGATACAATGAATTCTCCTCACTCAGACCGAAGCTTTTTTTTTTGGTGCCAACAAAATATGAAGTGTTTCCAAACAATTTGTGATCAGTAGAAAAGCTTAAATGCATGTATTGCGCTATTAAACGCAAATTCAATCCGCGAAGATAGCTCACTTCAGCACTGAGGCCTCCTTCCCTACGTGATCAACGCATTTTTATTAACCGGTCGTTTGGAAAGTTTCAGTTGTAAGCAGCACAATGTTTGCCATAATGCTTCACTGTAAAGCTCGCATCTCTAACGGATATGATGGCGATCGACAAGCCATGTCTGCGAACACACTGTCGACAAACTGGCTAGATCGTTCCTGAACACAATGTCGCTGACAGCAGCGAAATGCGCCATTATCGAACGTATCTAGGAATTTTTGAGAGGAATATTGTTTTAAGCTAATTTAAAATAGACAAATATTCTTTAAAAAAGAATATGATATCTTGCAGCAAACTGACTTTATTGCTTGACTTGTAGCCTTACATGAAATACAGACCTCTCTATCGCGGAGTTCCATTATCGTTATCCATATAGATGATCTGGTGCTTGAGGATCGTCGTTTTGGTGCAAAGGAACGTCGTTTAATTGTTTAAAAGGTATTTAAATACAAATGTTTGATACAGAAAGGCACATTGAGATTAATCATCTAACCGACGCTCTATCAAAAAGGATGGAGAAATTGGGATTCAATGGGTATTCTAGCCTCTGTGACAGCTGATAATTATTGCATTCTAGCTGAAAGAGGTAATTCGTCGAGAAAACATATCCAGATATTTTGGTGATTATCATATACTATAAGTTTCGAAGTAATATGTGAAAACACTTAGCAAGCGCGGCTACCTTTATCATCCTGCGCAGCAAATACCATAATTCAAAACATTTGTGTCATTGCTGTCGATTTCCTCAACAGAGATGTTGTGAACCTTGCAAACTAAGAGCGGCATCATACGTATGATTTTAAAAATAATTCTGCTTTAAATACGACTTAGTTCTTAAGACCTAAAAGATCCTTGAGAACTATCTTGAGCCATTGCAGCCAGCCCCACCAACAATTTGTAAACACGACGTGCTTGGGACGACAGCTAGCACGTTAAATGCAGCACTAATCATAAAAGCACAACCAAGTGAGCCTAAAACCCACCACGTAGTATTCGTGTCGCCTTGAGCACCATATCGATGAAGTCGCTGAAGATCTCGCTTCTGTTTTGGTAGGAAATAGAGCGCCAAAACACTTAAGAGTTTAATCATGTAGCAGATTCCAAGACTAAACGTAACTTCATCTGCATCCTCTTCTGTATCTTGAGAGCTTGGTTTTCCAAATGCATAACCTAAACAATTCGAAAAAGTTGTGGACAATAATCGCATGATTGTGCTCATCGAGACAATAATTCCAACGAAAGCACCTTCTCCATCCACCGGCGCAATTTCCGCACAGACAGCAGCTTCAAGAATAATAATACTAGCACGCACGAATCCTCTTAAAGCCGTGATGAAAGAATAAGTCTCTTGACTTCGTAAATTGATTGAGATTGAAGCCATAATATAGAAAATAAGTTGTGGAACCATCATCATGACAATTAAACTAATAATGACACAATAACGCCAATTCCAATTAAGTGCACCATACTTCCAAGTAGCAACTGATAGCACATAAAAGACTTCGGATGAAATGTTGCTTGAAGATTGAGCTTTGTCGGTAAAGTTGCACCAGATTGCAAGTTGAGCGTGGGGATACGTGAGTGTAAACTCGGACAAAAAGACATAAATCATGAAGAAGCGAATGACGTAAACTGTAGACTTTCGTGCTAAGGCTTTACGTAACCGAAGCCAATTCGCACGTAACCTAGGAAGCCAATCGACTGGTAAATTGCCGATTTGTTCCACAATATGCGACTGCGTGTCATCAGCATCAACATCATGAATTGCAGGAGGATTCATTTCTTCATGGAACAAGAAAAGTAGCGCCAAGATTGGAAGAAGTGAGTAAAACATAAAAAACATTGCTGTTTCACGAAATGATACCAGTGGAATGATACCCAATTCCGAAATATGAAAAATGGCCGTATCTGATACAATTTGTCCAACCAATTCGCCTGTAAATTGAGTCAAGAGTAACGTCCCAAGTGCTCTACCTCGCATTTTTAACGGTTCTCGACGTGTTTGTGCAACGACGTACGTCTCAGAAATGACTAATGTGAGGATACATCCGAAACTTGCAAGCACAAGAAGTGCAACATACCAGTCGATGAGAGCTACACGCTGTCGCAATGCTTCTTCTGTAGCCACATGACTTGATTGGGCTTTAAATTCGAGAGTATAGTTGAGAATAGCGATAGCAAAGCATGAAATAAGTGAAACAATCCATCCAAGAACAATGTACGCTTTACGTCGAGATCCCAATATTGGCAAAGTGTCTGATATAAATCCTCCAACGAAAGTGTACGACCACGGTAAGAGTAATAGTACATTTGCTGCATCTACTTGGTATCTCTCCATTTTGAGTTCTGCCTCAAGAAGAGGAAGTAGAGCTCGTTTAAGACACGTATTTAATCCACCAGCAGATAAGGTTGAAACAAGCAGTCCAATGTGACGCCAACTCATATAATTAATCGTACCCCTTTGAAATGTTCGGTCGTATGATGGATCTGAGCTCTTCGCACTGATTGAGATACTATCATTTTCATATCGATTGATCTTATTACTGACGAGACTTCCATCGTAGTCTATAACTGCACAAACGCTATCATGTTCACAACTTCCACAACTCATCATTGGAATATCAAGATAAGAATTTCCTCTTCTTGTGCTTACAGCAGGAGCCGTCTTTGCGTACGAATGATCCAATTGATTCTTCTCATAATGAATAGAGTGATCGGTGTGTGGACATGTCGGTGCATGCTTCCAATGTGATTCAGGACCTTTAAAAGCACTCGAAGCTGTCAGTTTGTTCCTTGTTTTATTGCCAATCGAGTCGTGATCCCTTTCATTATTACTTGTACTACTCAATGCGCTGAGTCTTCCCATATTCGGGTGATACCACGTCAACGCCTGGCGGCGCCGAAACAATTCCCCGCTGAATACTTCGAGTCCGATAAGCGTATAGGAGCAAGTATTCAGTTTAACCCTAAGCTAGACACAATAATACACTAAAAAACATATTAGAAGATTTGTCAACTTACCGCCAATATCTTCAGAATTATAAATATTAAATATTTCTCAAGTTTAGTCTATCACAGCTGTTTAAACATGCATGAATAGCTGTGGCTTATCACATTAGAGCATCAAAGCTATGAATCTAATAGTGAACAAGTTTATATCAAGGTGTAATGTTGTAATGTCTATCGATTACTAATTGAGGCTGCATTGGTGCTGTACGCTGTGTACATATTCTGGACGATGGGTGTCTCTTCCACCACTGTACAGAATATGTGCAGTGATGGAAGAGGCACCCATCTGGTATATGTCATACGGTAGGTCTAGAGAAGGAATCGAGATCATCAACGTTTCATATAATGAACAGGTCGTAGACATCAAGATTTTTTGTTGAGCCATTTTGGAATCCAACGGTTCCGTACGTAAACTTTTGTTGGCCGACAAAAACTGTTTCGTCGTTTGTACCGAATTTATAATTTTCAAACTCTCAAAAGTCATATCAATCAAAAGTTTTGAAAACAAAGTGAAAGTTTTTCTAAATTTCACGATGATATAAGTCTAGGGTACCATAAGGTATGTCTAACCTGTAGATCAGTGGAAACGCTGGCATTGCCTGCGTTCAATAAATTAAAACAAAAGTCTATCGTTCTTCAAGAACTGCGTAGTTAAATCCACGCTCGATCGATACGCTGGAGCTAGTGACACTGCTACTGTAAAAACTTCCAAGATCTTCACGTGTACCAAGAAAGGAATTCTGGTCACTTGTACTCACATCATCGCCAATGTCACTTACACGACGTTCACGCTCTAAAAGTTTTCGTAATTTATTTACAGCCATGACTGCAGTCGGACGTGATGTTGGCTCAAGTTTCATACATTCCATCATCAAAGCCGCGACACCTCGTGGACAGCGTGTCGACAGTGACGGATGAATTGCTCCAGTTCGCAATAATTCAACTACTGCAGCTTCTGGCAATGGTTGTCCATTTGATAATGTAACTTCTGAAAATGGAAGTTCATGACTATCTAATTCCGATAAAATAACTCCAAATGAGTACATATCAACAGCCGTTGAATATTGTGCTTCTCCTGATAAAACTTCAGGTGCAATCCATCGACTTGTACCAATTGATCGTGTCATAGCAAATTGATCACTTGAATTATCATCACTATCACTTCCAAAAGTTGGCGAGTGTGCAATGCCATATCGACTCACTCCAAAGTCAGCGACTTTAGCAGTAAATGTCGAATCAAGTAAAATATTACTCGATTTTAAATCACGATGAAGAATTGGTTTTGGTTGTCTTGAATGTAAGTAAGCAATTGCCTCGGCAATGTCTAAAGCCATTGATAACTTTTTTGATCCCCAAGCACGAGCGCGTGCATCACTACGAGTACGTGCTAAATATTGTCGTAGATCACCACCACTCATAAACTCAAGCACCATCTGAAGGTCTGTCGCATTTGTCGAGCCAGCGTTAGCGTCCCCTCGCAGTGGCGTTGTCCACGCTACACCGTAAAATGCTACAATCTTTGGATGACTTAAAGTCGCGAGGAACCGAATTTCAGCGACGAAACGTGGCAACGCACTCTTACCTTGAGATCCCCTTGACTTTGTCCGTGACTTTGAATTCGAATTAGCTATAGCACTTGTCCCGATAAGACCTTGACGACTATGTCGACTACCTTTACGCCACGATTTCGTACGTGGCAAAGACGGTGGCATGGGTGGTGATAATTTCTTCACCACAACTGTCTCGCCTAAATATGTTGCAAGCCAGACAGTACCATAAGCTCCTGCTCCTAATGGTCGAATTGGTACGATCGTCTCGGCGTCGATTCTCCAAGACGCGAGCGCTTCTTCGTCTTCGACAGTCAATACCATTCCATTAATTGATCCTCCTTTCCGACGTCCTATTAAATGACCAGGAAATGTCGGTGATCTCGTCTCAAGGTCGAACTCAACTTGCCTTCTCTTTCGTCGCTTGCAGCAAATGTACATGACAATTATAAATGCTATAAGAAATACGACTGGAATGCTAATGCTTAGCCACAATTCAAGTGTTTTGTCGTCGGACGAATCGACATCTTCTGTTGCTGCAGTAATTGTTTTGCCTGTACTTGATCCTGACGCAATCGGATAAAGCACTTCCGAAGGCGACTCTGCTAGCACGCCTTCTAGCCATCTCTGCATCACGAACAGAAGCGAGCTATTTTTAAGGTCTGTCCTATGCCCACTCAATTCAAGAGAAAAGAATGTCAGACAGATATATTCTATCGGTGGGTTGATGTCGTAGTGTCTAACGTTGGTTGGCAACCCAAAGCTCAAGTGAATGTCTTGACCGAATAACTTTGCACTCGAGACGATTGGCTTGCTCTCAAGCGACATGAGCACCGGAAGGATTTGCGGAGTAGGATTAGCTTCAGTACATCCAGTCTGAAATCGCGACATTGCGATGAAGTACAGATGGTTCGAATTTCTAACGTTTATTTATTCCACTTGCTCTCCACTAGTCGATCTCATCTCGATTAGGCCATGAATGTGTGGTAGTCCCTTTTAAGTTATTGGATCGAATTATGGCCACGAAATCGCACCTCGTGTGTTACGAATTTCAAACCGAATATATATCTCTTCGACAACGTATCAAGAGATTACCACATTAGTATCTTCATCTTTTAGCTTAAAAGATGACGGCCTGAGTTGTAAGAATATTGAGGTGACTGCGCGAGACTAAGTTGAGTTGAGGCAATTGCTCGTAATCAGACGTTCGAAAGAACTCGAGATTCGTCTTGTAGTAAGAATTGGAGTAAAGTCCAGCTGACTCTCAGAGGGTTGTGGATACAATAAGATGACCAACGTAGTGTTCTCGATAGGTGCTATGAAATTAAGTTAGACTAGCTTTGAGATTAGTTTACATATTTGATAAGACATTTACATTGTTGACAGTTTCCTATGTAAAAGATGGCGTAGCCATAACAAGCCTGTCTGGTAGTCTGTCAGAAACCGCTCAGCTGGACATTTCATCCTTCAAGACATGACGTCAAGCGAGCGCTGATCAATGATAATAATTCACAAGTTTGTAGGACTCGAGCTCTTTTATGAGAGCATTAGATCATTGTATGCGAAACGTAAGAGCTCACCCAACCCTCTGGAAGATCCTCGTTCAATACGTGGTTAACTTCGACGTTTTCGCTTGAGACGGGTTACAAAATTTACTAGCCTTTACGACACGTTGTGTTCAATGACCAACATGCGTTTCTTCCACCTTTCTTCCTTTCAGTTTTTACACTTACTTTGAGCAACACACGCATAACAGCTAGAATACGCTTCTATTCTTTCAAACATGGATATTCCATTGTTGTTTTAACATGGAAATCAAGAGCAAACACTTGAAAAGTTGCGTTACACGACATTTGAATCCACAATCCATGAAACAAATGTTGCTGATCCTACAGAAAAAAAACGATCATGCTTCTAGAAAGAAAGTAGACACTGACGTCTGGCTGGGATAAGAAAAGGATCTTAGCTAGCTCTAAATGCTATACGGAGAGACTATTAGATGACAAAAACCATCTTCTTTTAAAGCAAAGGACCATCCGCCACCTGCAATGAAGCAACCAATGGTTTCTTAGACGAGATATCTCAAGTAAATTTACTTGCTACGTGTGTCGCTACTATACCAATTGGAAGTCATGCCACTTCGAATTTTCTTTGTCAGACCTTTCGTTCGTTTTTTAGCATCAGTTCTTACTAACTCTGTTGGTGGTAATTGGTTACTGTACATGACCAGACATCTTGTACAAGAAGAGCAATTATTGGTCCTGCAAAATACACCGACTGACTTTGGTGGTTGATCATCTCTCCGTCTCTTACATGAAATGAAGTCGCTCTACAACTAAGAAAATTAGCGCTCTGTGAGGTCCATATCTAACCTGAGAAAGACCATACTCCGAACACACCTACCGGTCAAGAAAGCTCAAGGGAACGTACTTAAAGAAAAGACAAGGATTTGATTACTTCCGTTAGCATACGCATGTAACGGGATGTGTACCTTGATATAGTGTAAGTTTTCATTATATACTGACGTTGGGCTTAGAGTGGTATGATCGAGCACCGAAGTGATGCATTATTGACAAATGCTTCCATGAAAGGGAGTGCGTAGGATACGGGGGCCGCTTGCTTGCTATTTGCTACCCATGCACAGAACAGAATTATCTTGTTAAAGATGATAAAACGCGTACATTAGCTATGTATCCCGGTTCGTTCGATCTAATTCGGAATATACCGCACTTCAATAGCATTTTCCTATCCGAGTTATGAATGATGTACCCTTTTGGGACGAAATACGAAACTTTTCAAAGGAAGTGTCTGAAGGACATGTGGGCTACTAGCGACATGTTAGAGCGGAACTTTGTCATGAGACACTAGGAATTGAACACATTTAGCATAAATCTAAGGAGGATCAGTTCCAAACACGCGTACTCTTGAAATAGCATCATTACAGTGTTAATCATCGCAGGGGCTCGATTCCGCAGTGCTAGGAGAAATCATCCTCTGTGCGTTTGATAATGCATACTAAGAGAGGCAAAAAGATGTGCAACGTGTGCGGCACTTGATAGCACTTGTAGCTATCCCACGACCGATTGATAGACAGACAATATTTTTGGGAATATGGAACATGAATTGCTACAATACTCGCTCCCAGAACATATATATATATGTCTATCAGGTCCCAATGGAATTAGAAAATTGGTGGGAAGCGGTTATTGCTTGTCTTGGGGCGCTCACCAGCTCTAAGAATGCACTACTGAGGTACGTTTAGGAGCGCGCTGCAAAGGAACAGACGGGTCCCACCATGAAAGTGCTATTGCTGAGCGTCTTGGACTTTGAAGGTTGAGACAAAAAAGATATTCTCCCTGGGTGATGATGTTGAGTTGGTCATCGATCGACTTTGCTCCACACGGAGCTACAGCGCCTCGCGCTTTCAATCACCAAGATATGAGCTCGCGCGCGAGATTCGGCACTTACGTGCAATACCTCGGAAAACCAGGAGTTACCAACCTGGAGCAATTTGACACGGCATATGTTGCGAGTGTTCGCACAAAAAAACCGTGCTTTTGATGCGCTTGAATTCCTTTTCTACTCGTCAAAGCGGGCAAGGATTGGCGGGATGTATTTAGACATTAAATACTCTAATTGCCACAACGGTTTCTAGTCCTTCCCCGGAGGTGGTAACGATCGCCATCTGCAAACGGGTGCTGCTTGCACAGTAAGCTTATGCGTCCACCCTACCCCGTGTAAGGGAGTGGTGGGCGTTGTATCAAGTGCGGAGATCAACACCCGTCTTGCACGGTGTAGGTTGCCGGGTAGTGGAAGGTCTACGAGACGGTGGGCCTCAATCAAGCTGAAAAAGTAGAGAGAGACTTCTTAGGAGTTGTGCATCTTCGCGGTGTCCGCGGATGTTTTGTGCTACCGCAGAGAAACAGCTGCGCCTTGCGTATTCCACAAAGATTGTTAATAAGAGATTTAGGGGCTACAGCTCGCAATCGTTGACTTGTTATGTACACGTCCGGGCTGTGCAAAGCCGTAAAGTGTTCTAATAGATCCAGTAGCGTCGTGCAAATACGTGCTGCACTTGACTGTCAATAAAATACACCGCTTGCGGAGGCATTGGATATACCAAATACGGATATAATTCTTCGTGCGTCTTGCAACGAGCGCTGGTAGGAGCATCGAAAACTTTCTTGAATCTTCAAGTTTATGGACTTCAAGGCGCGAAACGTTGTTTTCTCGGATTCGATATTTGTACGATCTGATTCTAGGCATGGCGTGGCTGGAACTCTACGGGCTATGAATTAACTAAAAAATATCTTGTATTTTTCCCCTGATGAAGCATTAGTGAGTAATAAACCCACGTCAGCCGAAGAATAGAAGCGCTATTGGCGCGGACACGAGACTGCGATAGATTCCATGCATGGCATGGGATTGTCCGTAAGTGATACCAAATTGATATGATTTTGTGCCTCGAGCAGAGCTCCGGGGGAATAGACGGTAGTAAATCAAAGACTCTAAATGAGACGGAAAATGTCTACGTATTTCGCGACCTTCAGAGTGTGTCTCAGTTAAAGCGAAAATGATCAAATGTATGTTGTGGTGTCTTTGGTGGAACAGCTGTGATCTGTTGTCTTTTGTGCCAGTGGGGAATGAAAACGATTGGACGTCGCAATCGTTCCGAATTTTAAGAGCCGTTGAAAGTCACGCGTTTGTAAGACAAGCTCTTAAGATTAGTTCATCCTTGTTACAGTGTGATGGCATTGTATAGTCAGCACTACTGCGATACAGGTCCATCGTGTATCTGTCGATCGGTTTCAAAGTTCTACAATCACCCCGACAACTCTTCGCCACAAATCATTGATTGTATCTTGATCAGATCGAACGATATGCGCAGGGTTCGCGACACTGTAGCTGGGAGTCAAGACAAACAAAGGAGGACGCCAATGCCAGAGACAGTCGGAACAAAAACTCTATATTGTCGCGCAAAGGTATTACTGCATGCGAATACTCTGCCTACGTATGATGTCTCTGCGGTGTGTAGGACCAAGTTGCGTCCGCACTACATTGGACCGGATATGAACGAAGCGAATGATGGATTGAGCTGTACTCTGCATAATTTAAAGCAGATGCAGATACACTAAGTATTCTATGTGGTTGCGCTGGAGCCACACCATAAATCTGCTCTAAAAAAACAGTCAGACCTGAAGAATTCTATTGCAGACAAAGTAACCCCTGCAGCAGAGATACTTGCCGATTCATAGCAGCGACACTATCTTGAGACGCTGAATTGCCTAAAGCTAGGCGATGCGATGGCGAAGCTCAGAGAGTAAATCTATCATATGGCTCATCTCAGCCTCAGACGCATATTGTGTCTCTTGGAGTTTCACGTGCCATCACAGTCGAAAGAGCTTGCGACAAATAACCACAGGAAGGATAACCTCCGTCAGCAATGCTCGATATGGAAGGGGTGACCCACCTTCATGAAAACCGTTTGGTAGACCGGCGCAAGCACCAGTCCTATCATCAACACCAGGTTAAGGCTCTCTTTTGTGAGAAATTGCTTCGGTGTCGTGGCCGCTCACGACCCGACGTACCCTCGCCCATTACACTTTAATAGAAAAGACACTCGCCGCAGCGTGCTTCCCGCGATTCAACGGCGACCATCCTACCAGTGATAAAGACACTATATTGGTAGCGGTTACAGATGTTTGATGGCGATGAGCGTGTATATAAGCAGCAAAAAATTAAGTATATGGGTTATCATCCTGAGGACTGCGCTCTGCTTTGTACCTTGCAAATCCAAGCATTAGTTGACTCTCTCAATAAGCTTTTACTTCGTGATACTGGTTTGTATAGCCTTAAGGCCGATTAATAGGCGTGTTCTTCTCAACCACATACGCAATATGAGGCAAATGTTTCGTTGCACTTTCACCAGCATCTTATGTCCTTCATGGTGTGTACATTTTTCAAACGGCTGCTGCACAACGTGCAGGGTACTCCTGGGGGAGATGATCTGCGCATTGAGAAAGCGTTTATAGTACTATTCCGCGCTTGTTCGCTCTGGGCGAGAGTGAAAATTTAAACACAGAGGTTGTAGGAACACCGAATCAGCGCGGCGAGCGATTCCGGCCAAATGAAAACGCAATCACGACGTGATTTGGATAAGAGTTGTCGCGACTCTTGTGTTTGTAAGAAGCAACCTGGGTTTCTTGAAAAGATCTAGGTTTTTTTGGTAAAGAGTTGGACATCATCGTGGGGGTTCACAAGGAGATCACGAAAGACTTCGGATAATGAAATATGACCAAACTCCGAGACTTGTGTAGCGAGAACTCTTGACCATTAGTTAAATGAGGGCGGGAGGTTTTTACTCGGGACTCGGAGAGATACTGGGGTTGTTCCTATCGTCGAACCATCGCCGCAACCTCACCATGAATTCCTTTGAGTGCATCGGTTGCAAAGACCGCGCTCTGAGCAAGGTCTTGTTGCTCCACTTGGTTTAGTGCACGGTAGTGGACTTCCTGTCATGTGTGCTCATTATGGCAGGCATGGTAAGTGCAATAGGTGATGTGAAACTAAAGGCGCAGTGGTTGCTCGTGGAGTGTTCATTTTCAAGTATGCTGTAAGTGTAAATCTGGTGGCTGTGATGGGATTAGTAATGAAAGATTGTATATCTTACCCTTTCACATCGTTTTTATTTACAATAAGGTAGAGCTGCACGAAAATCACATTAAACTTGCGTAATTTGAAATTTTATGAAGACTGTATTTAGCACCGGTATTTATAAATTTTGGCGAATTCCAAAAAATGGGGTCCGTGATACACGTGGGCTGCTAGCCGCACATTAAAGAATAAGGTCAGCTCAATCATGATAAATAGTAAAGGCTGTGTGGTATTAGTTTACGCATTAAATTTTAATATATGCACTATCAGTAAGCAGGGTTAATAGACACCCAGTCATGGTAGAGACCCTCGATCCCGCTTTGAGTATAAGCACACAAAATCATCCTCTGTGTGTATAATACCGCGGAGATTCAGAGTCAAAGCTTTCTATGCGCAAAACACACGACAGCTTCAATCCAAAAAATAAAGTATCTTCTTCATATCAGCAACTTACGCTGACGGATGAATTGGCTTTTGCTGGCTATGAAGAGATATTACGATAACTGTCCGAAACGGCAATCACAATCACTTATGCGCTGGCGATGACGCGATATATGCAGTGACGAGAAACGATGTTGGGGGATTACCGTAGACATTATTTCAAGTAAGCTTTGAGTCGCGATCAAATCTTGCGCAAGAAAATGCAAAGAAGATGTGTTCTCAACCTGTCCCGAGGGCGTGTGACCAAGACCCTCTCATGTATCAAAAGTTGCCGCTTCTCAAAAAAAGTAGTCAATATCCCGTTTATGATGCTTGCAATCCAACGAACCTTTCGCATCAACGTCGCCGGCTTTACTTTAGCAAAGAAGGTGGACTCGCTTTGCATCACCATGTGCCAAACTGAGACCATTTTAAAATTAAAAGCACATTTTCTCTCCGGTTTCAAATGTTATACGACTAACTTCTTTGATGGAAGGAGTGAGAGCGGTTCAGCGAGTATCGACACATCATGTGCGCTTTCGTCGAAGACTCGCCGGTCATGCCATTGATGCGAAGCTTCCTCAATACTTGAACATTCGAAACTTTCCCTACTTCGAGCCAGAGTTCAGATACACACCTTCTCATTTCTTCAATCAGGAGAAGAACAAAATTACTCCAACTTGAGACTCGTGACTTTAAATCTGAGTCTATTCGAAAAAGACGATCTTTAACGAGGTTGCTTAAGATAGCATCACCTCATGGTTGAGATTTCGTCGACTCAAACAACAGCGGGGCTACCGTAGATCTTTGCTCAGAGGAAGCTAAGCTGAGGTCACCGACCTTACGCTCTATACCATAACCCGTACGAGTGTAGCGGATCGCAATCCGCTACCACTAAGAGTACCCAAAACCTAATTCAAGGTAAATACGCTCTTCCGTTTAATAGTAAAGTTGTATTTATAAGCCTTATTTGTGGCAGAGCCGCCTATATATAAAATCGACGGCTTTTATAACCAAATAGTAAAACCTAATAGAATGCATGACTACTGACAGTCCCGCCACGTAGTGGCTTCTTGTTACGATGGAGCCACACCATTGTGTGATTACACCGACTTGTGTAATCCACACATTTGTACGGTCACACAGAATGGTGTGACCCACCTTTTTATACCAGGGTACGTATTACCCGTTACACAAACTCTCCAAAAGGCGCTCGCCGCGCTTAAATACTTATACGTGTTGGCAATTGGAGAGCCAATTCTGTGCATTAGTGCTGCTTTCTAAGTAACTCAAGAACCCACAGATCACCACTTTTTGGGAGTACCGCTTAGTCTAGCGATACTGTCAAAATGTGTATTTAAGCGTCAGAGAAGAAAGCTGTTCGTACAAGCTACATATGATCAGACGCTAGTGATAATGTCTGACTTTGCGACATGCCAAGTTGCAAAGTCAGCGGCGTAGCAGGAAGTCTCGCAAGCCTCAAGCTCGTGCTGTACTCATAGCTAAAGTCTGATCAGCTGCTAGCCAAGTCTGTGATCTCGAATATGACCTAGCTTGACTCGCTCGTGGAAGGTCCTTGTGCTTCACGACCCTGTGTCTTTCACTGAATCGGAAAAGACAGAGGATGTAATTATTATTAGGGTCAATGACTTGAAGGCAGTTTTTTAAGGGACGATCCTCAAGCTTCCATGAGTAATCGAAGAGAAAATATCACTATATTTCGCCTGATGTGGTTATACCACTGATGATCACGTCGGCTCTCATACTTTTTCGAATGAAAATTGTGCATCACATATCGAGCAGAGCCGACAGAGGACGAATCTTCTTGACTGGCTCCCACAACTTTGGATGCGCGTCTACAATCACGGCGGTTCTTAAGGTGCGTCCGTTGAGAACATTAATCGTATTTAGAGAGTGATATTTTTAGGACAAATGACGCGCGTTAGAAGAGAGAAATTTAGCTTAGATTATTTCAAAATGTCAATACTGCCACACAATAGTGGAAACAAAATCTCGATTATGATGGGGGTTATCGCCTCAAAGTTTGCTTGAGCCTTTTGCGATAATGACGCATCGTACGATAGCGTTATAAAGTCACACATCAACAGGTTGATGACATGATCGATTGACAAATATTTAGCCACCAGTGAGTGGGATACCAGGTAGGACGTAGTAGGTGGATATGTAAAATCTTGAATTTCAGCATACACATATTTGAGGCTACAAAATGAATGGACAACAGATTATAGACAATGCTTCACACATTTAAAACGCAATTTTTTTTTTATGCGCAATACAATCGTGCTTAATATATCGCATATAAGTGAGTATACATTGGACTCAAAATAGAAAATTGCAGCTGAACATAAATCAACAATAAGCTTGAAGAATCCTTTTCAGTCTATTTCTTCACTAGACACAATACTTTATAAATGTTATTTAATCATATGACGCCATCGTCATGTCTGACACTAAAGTTACTATGTTTTAAATAATATACCGATACTAACAAATATTCTATTCCTTGTCACCCACACACTCTCCTAGAGGTCCATGCGTAAAATCAAGGCGAGAACGTGGACATTCTGAAACGAAAGGAAAGTGGATAAACGAGGAATATCAAGCAGCTATATACACAGTAAAAAGTCATGGGATTGCAATGAGGTTTTGAAGTCAGTCGATCGAGTTTCATTGTAAATACTCTCACTTCATAATGAGCAGTGTCGAGTCCCCACACAACGACTGCAATAGTAAATCTGCGGTTTCTGTAGTAGTACACAGAACGACATCGTCATCATCACATGATTCTCGTTTGACAAATAATGGGCAAAATTTATGGAATCGTTCATCTGATGTGCAGACTGACGATATTCAGACCGACTACCAACCTCCAGACTGGAACTCGAATGATGAATCTACTGCAGACGATAGTGCGAGTCGTACTGCCTTTCATTTGAATACAAATGACAGTCGAAATAGCACACCTTTGCCAGGTGGAAATAGTTTTCGAAATTCCACAGCGGATTCTGTAATGTCTAGCGATCCGTCAGTGGTTCCTCCCGTAAATATGAAAGTTCGTCCACTCACGCTGTATGGAAAAGACATTCTTCGCATCTTTCCATTCGGAACGACGTCAGAAGATATTAAACCTGTGAAATGGTCGGATACTCTCGGCGCTATCGACGTTGAAGATGATTATTCCATTCGAGATCCTCATTTTGATCTTACTAATGGAAAAATTACCAAACTCTTTTCACTGTCTAGCCCCGACGGTAAGAATGCTTGTTGTGGTTTATTAGCGTTCAACCTAATGTGTTTATTTTTTTAGAAAATGGAATGTTATCGTACGAAGGTTTTCGGCGTGGTTTGGAGGCAATGGGCATCGCTTGTGATAGCAATCAACAGTTTCAAGCATTTTTGGATGTTGTTGATGACGATAAGAATGGTGTCATTTCATTTGATGAATTTCTCTGCGCAATTCAAGAAATCAAATTGGCACAGCTATTCAATGAACCATTCATTCGTACGATGCCAGCATTGTACCAAAGTCTTCCGTCACCTGTAACTCTCGGCGCTATTGAGTACTCCTCAGATCGCATTCGATGTGTGTATCCGATCAATAATGTCAAGGGTTTCATCTATTCAAAGCCCCCATCCTGGGCAAGTGTGCGCTGGATTAACGTCGAAGGGATCAATACTTTACTAATTCGTCGTCTTTCTGTTCGTTATCGACTTCATCCTTTAGCAATTGAAGATACACTAGGACCAGACGTGAAGCGACCAAAATACGTAAAATTTGACGAGCATTCGTTTTTAATTCTTCAGACGCTGCATCCACGAAAGAGATGCATTGTGAGGACGTATCAACAAATGTACCGCACTGCCCACTTGATGCTACTGGACGACAAGTCACCTTTTGACAAAATGAGCTTTACTGAGCTTGAAAACCGACTCCAAGAGCTTGAAGCTGGTCGTGTCATGTCTCCACCCTCCCAGCTGAGCTTGTACGTAATGGAAGGTGCACTTATTAGCGTACAGGGTGAAAATTCGCTTTGGTATGCTTTAAAGAAACGATTGCATGTCTCGTATTCTAAAGTTCGCCAGCACAGCACAGCTTTTCTCATGTATACGATTATGGATCTCACGGTGAATGAACTCTCACCGATTTCACAAACTTTTGGTGCCAAATTATTGATGCTACACCGTTTGATGTCACTTGACACACGGCACTTTGACGTTCGACGAATTGCTGCAACTTTAAAACAAATTAAAATTCTGCAGATGTATTGTAAACCAATGCGTGAAGTCATTTCCAAGTTGATTGTATCGAATGATTATCAAGGCGAGACTCTTCAGTATTTTGCTGATGTACAAGAACATCTCACAACTATCGAGGAAGAGTGTGCGTACAATTTAGATCGTTGTCATAATCTGGTGGATGAATTTAACAACACTCGAGCTTCGCAGCAGAATGATGTGAGCTACATCTTGGCACTAATTGCTGCAATTTTTCTACCAGCACAATTTCTTACTGGGGTGTACGGCATGAATTTTCCGTATGTCCCCGAACAGACTTATTACTATGGATATTTTATCTGGTGGGCTGTCATGATCGTAGCTGCTGGACTCATTATCATTTTTTTCAAATGTAAACAATGGATCTAGAGCTTAATATCTCGAAAGAATTGCCAACATGCATAGTGCTGCAATTAATATTCAGGGGCAAACATCTTGGCCTTTCAACAAGTCTTTCGTTCTCATGGCCAAGCCAGAATTATTGCGTTAAACAGAATTCCTACAACGTCTCTCTACCAAGCTGCTCTTGTCAACAACTAAGCATCCAGAAATCAAGCAGTGATTAAAACAGATCAAGCTGCATTACGTGCTGATCAGGCAGTTTTATAGATACGAATAGCTGATCGACGAGACAACGCAAAACAGCAGATCTTTTTATTTGACTACGATAAGCTGTCATGGCTTGGAAAGAGAGGAGTAATTTTCTGCTTTAGCTGTAGAACGTGACTGATAAGGCATAAGTTACTGCCATTGTAAAGCAGCATGTATTCTAGCTTCGAAAATGGTCAGCTTTTGCATTTGTGTAGATCTTTGATGCGCAACTACAGGATCCGCGTTTCTATACATCAAAGTCGTGCGAATCGACCAAGCAACGTATCTACAGACAATAGCAAAGGTCACGTCAACGATTGAGACTGCTATACTTTCGGCCACTATACTGTATTAAATTCTGAGAGCTTTGAGGAAGAAGATAACTCACCCAATTTGAGATCATACATGAGTACAACCACTTGGTCGGAAGACGCTTTGTAAGATGTTTGCGAACTTTGATCTTCTTCCCACAACATTCTATCTAGCCACACTTTTCGTACGCTACCATCGTAGAATGGTAAGTTGTGGTCAGCGAGTACTTTGTAGCCTTAAGACTAAACGAGTGTTACCGTCGTTCCTGTTAATTGTCACGTCTTACTCGTTCTTCTATCGCTTCATTTTGGTTCTTGACCACTCGTACCTTTACCACGCTGCACTGCTCACCAACGTGTTCTCCCGTCAGTAGATACTCCACTTGCAGCTATACGGTGCGACTCGCAGTCGAACACGTCGTCCCGAGATGCGGTCTCTTGTCACCAGTTAAATTTCCACCGTATTCATCTTTGTACAAAGTTCGGATCAATTGCAATGATGGTTATCTGATCGTAACATCATCAAGGGAACAGCATTAAATATCCCTCTCTATTCGATTGTGTGATAGCTTTCATGGTCTCATTTAAAGTACATCTCATGCATACGGATCCACATGCGCGCTTTTTTGTAAACACGATGTATCTTGTATCCGGCTGTGCGTTCCATTGATCTCTTTGATTATCATTTGAGCTGTCAGCAATGGTTGGTGATCATTTAACTCATAAAGTACAGTCGCCAGCATCAAACGTACAGTGCATCAAGCACAAAGCATTAAATGTACAGTGCATCAAATTCTAGTCGGGCTGATAGCTTGCAAGGTTACAAGTGCAGCCATGAAAGCTAGTGACTAGCTCGTTACGATTTTGAAAGTATAGCGTGGGATTTCAGATCTGAACTGGTGTAAAACTAAATTCAGATATTTCTTGGTGGACAAATTGCTTGCTTGTCGAAGTGAGCACGATGTTAGACCATATGTCAATAGTGTCTGCCTATGCTGTCGGAGATTGGGGCTATCCTCTTGATGGAGGACCATGTTCTTCCAGCTACGATTCTCATGCCCAAAAAGTCGTCGCAACGCTCATGGACATCCACGCTGGTAAAACCTGCAAGCCAATGGCAATCCTTGGTCACGGTGACAGTTTTTACTGGACAGGTATCGATACTCTTGAAAGTCGTGATTTGCGATTCAATGAGTCGTTTGAATCCGTTTACAATGGCGACAACATTAGAAATGTACCTTGGGTAAATGTGATGGGAAATCATGATTACGGTGGTGCAGATTACATTTGCAACAACGGCACCAGCCTCTTACGCTGCAACACAACAGAAGAAATGCTTGAAGGACTCGAATTTAAATTTCAAGCCCAAGCGCAGTACAAGAGTCCCAACAACAATCGCTGGGCTCTGGAGGATGTGTTTTATACGCGTCGTATCGAGAGTGCTACCACTGGTGTAAGCATTGACATCTTTAACATCGATATGAATGATGCTGCTATCGCTGGTTCACATGGAATCTGTTGTCAGTGTTACGGGTACGCTAAAACCGACAACTCTGGTTGTAATAGCATCATTCGTGGCGACAAATATTGTTGCGGTGGGAACAATGACATGTACGATACGTGCATGGCTAAATTCGTTGAGTGGGCTGATATATCCCGTACGAAATTGGCCAAACAAGCAAAAGCGTCGAATGCGACGTGGAAACTAGTAAATAGTCACTACAGTCCAATTCAACACTACAAGTTCGACGGTATGCTTAAGTGGTTTGATGCATTGAAAGGTTCTGGCATCCACGCTTTTATCTACGGTCATACTCACGGTGAGAAGCACGATTATGTGGATTCATTGAAAATGCACTTTGTTGAAAATGGTGCTGGAGGCGGCATGAAATCGGAGTCGGCGGGTAATGTTCCGAACTTTGCATCGAAACTTGTGAAGCAAATATGGGCGTATGATCGAGGTGAATACGGTTTTCTCTCAGTTAAAGGATCGATGAATTGGTTGCAGCTTCAGTATCATACGGCAGATAGAAAGTGGAATTTCACCGAGAAGTGGGAAAATATGACAATCGGAGGCGTGGCGACCAAGCACTGTTGGTACATTCCACGCGACGGCTCGGAGGGCAAGGCGTGCTAGAAATGCTTATAAAAATAAGACGATCACGTTGTTGACTGAAGAACGTACTCTCGAAAGTATGATAAGTCGTGATGCGAAGTTTACATGGAGATAATTTGTTAATGTACTAGTCGTGAGAATTAAACATGGCTGGTTGGAATTACATTTGCAAGAGTCTAAGAGACGTCTTAGACGTCTCTTAGACTCTTGTTCTGTCACTGGCATGGAGTCATTACGCACGTTTTTCTAGCTATGTTCACTACTAAACGCCACTACGACAATCACTTTCGTGAAGATTCTACTTCAAGCGGCAAGACCAGCCCAATTGCTTCTTAGCCTTTGTAATTCTCTGTCTCAATCGCATTCAGATTTGAACGTATTTGTAATAAATACAATGTCCTGTTTCCCGAGCATGTAGACCGATCACCGTTTTTGATTATCACCATAAGGACACACAAATTGTGACGCTGTGTGAGGACTGCTCTTTCAAAGCGGGCATTACCCACAGTTTACATTTATCATTATCACCATCAAAGGTTCTTCTGATCGATGCATGAGATCTTCTCGTGAAGGAGTTGCAGCACTTGTATCATTATCAGAAGACTGTCGTTTGTTTTGCATGTCTGTGCCGGAGCAAGAAATGGTAACTTAAAAGACGGTAAAGAATCACTTATTGTCTTATCACAGAGAACGAACAAATCATCAATGCCTTTACCTTCTCTTGTATAGAGCTAAGATAACAAAATCAGTCAAATAATTATATGATGTCTTAAATCGTAGACTGTCAATATCGAAATTGCTCAGTTTGAAGTTTAAACATCATAATGCAGTACATAGCGATCTACTGCCTTCTCTACAATAATAGTCCGTCAACTTTTTGACTGTCTATCTGTTGTCGAATGAATGCCAGAGATTCTTCCTTCTGAGCAGATAAGACGCTACACTTTACTGGTGAGAAAGCTCGCTCTCTGGTGAAATCCCGTGGCATATCATCGCTGCCTAAAAAGTGACGCTTGACGACATTTTTTACTTTGGCGTTATGCTCCGAAGACTGAGAATCTTATGCAGGTCAAAACCATCACTGTCGAATATACTCTGATATTTTTATCTCTGGGTACAAGATTTCATCATTTTTGAATTTGCATCACCTTCCCCAACAAAGTTTGGTAAGTACTTTCGTTACGCATTGGGCTCACTAAAGCCTTAGTACAATTGAGACCCTCCTACGAACCCAATCTTTGCGCGTTCATTAATGCGGACTCTAAGTAAGAGCTTTATCTGTGCAAAGTGCCCGACAAACACCCTCCACTTGGTAGCGCTTGTAGTCAATCTCACGACCGTGAAAGGATTAGATTCCTTGTAAAGGTGGAGTTTGAGATGTTTGAAAACCTGTCTGCGAGACAACAAGATACGTTTGATAAGCTTATCTTTGCTAGTCCCGACGAGATCTCGGAACTGGCGGACCAATCAGCTAATTTGATATTTGCTCGCCTGGAGGCGTTCACCATCGATGAAAATGAGCTAGTGAGATATTCGTGTGCTCATTTCATGCTCGACATCAAGAGTCGAATCAAAAGTAAAAATTTAGTCAGCTTTTCTATTGCAAGATTACATACATTTAGCATTTTGCTTCTTGGACTACTTCCAGACATCCCACTTGGACTGCTCAACGTAGGAAGAGGGATGTCGCTGTCTCTCATGAGCAGCTGACAATACCCGCCGACCAATTTGATGGCACTGAACAAAGTGCAGCCGACCATGCTGTTGTAGTAGTACACCCTTTTTGGGAAACGGCGCTTGCGCCGGGACCGTTGCTGTATTTTATTATTAAGCACACTTGCACAATTCGTAATATGGCATTAACCGAGACGACACAAAATGTCGGTGCCGAGTGGGGACGTTCACACTCTCTCATCAAACCCGTTTTCCTTGCACTGAATAAAGCGCTTAGGACGTCACACTGACCCATTAGTATAAGCCACCGAGCGTCCGAAACCGAGATTCATCTAATCTCAGACAAAATAATTGATTGGTCAGTTTAATGACACACTACCCTATTCAGAATAACAACGTGCGTGGGTCTCGTGTCACCACGTCGTCCTACCCCTTCACCAGAGAATCGAATAGATACGGAAACCTTGCGGGAGCTCGATTTGATATGTGTCCCCTCGGCGGTCGTCCTACTACACGCGATAAGTAATCTCGATGACTGTTTCTTTTCACTTTTTTCTTCACTACTGGCCGTACTATACCATTTTGGTGACATTTACCCTCTTGCATCTCATTGCACATATTACTAACGACAACTTTTAAAGGTTTATAAGAGCAGTTGCTGAAGAGACTTACAACCCCCGCACTAATGCCACTTCATTCACGGATGGATACTCTTTTTCGCCCTGTACCCGTGATGCTCACTCCTCCGCGCGGTGGGCCTTTCCCACAGTAGTGCTGACTGAATGGTTCCGCCACGTCGTGACAAGAACGAGCCAAACTTTATACGTTCAACCCTTGGCCCTGCTACTTATGAGTTGCAGTCACCCTTCAACTCCACTGACTATAACACGGTTGATTGTGGAACCCAGGCGCTATTACTCTCCAGCGTAACTGGCACAGGAGACAAAGCCCATCGCTGTTCTCTACTATCCCGCTGGAGATACAACTGAGAGATTACGATTACAATCGCCCTGCTTCGTTCCATCCTGAGACATCGGCTTACTGCTTCTTCTACATTCTACGTTCTTCTTGGAACTCCAAGCAATACCATAGCTATAAATCTCAAACAATTCAACGACCTGCACGGAAGCAATCACAGCATCGTGCCCGCGCCAAAACGCAAAAAATTTCTGGTCGAGGTGGATTCACAAATGCAAAAGCTCTACCAGGTGAGATTTGCGAGACTTCTAGTCGACCCACGGCTCGCGACATTCCAGTCACGCTAAATGGAAGTTGAAATTTTATAGCGAGTCTAGGTCCGGAACTAGACAGCATATTACGCTATCAAACTCTTTCAACATTTTTGTAGATTGAAGTAACCTTTGACACTTCTACCAGTGTCCCAATCGCGAGATTTACAGATATCGCATTTGCCTTTGGTATCTTCAAAACCCCCGCGAAGTGTCTACACTTCTTGATAGTCGCACGTTGTACGTAATTACATGCTGCTCCTGAATATATCAGGTCTCTCCGCGCTTTCACAAAAAAGCCTAGGACAATGATATTCGAAACTTTCAATCCCTATCTGGTACCAATGACCATGACCTTCACAAGGTCAACAGATTCCACTTCTTTTTCAGTGTGCTGCCCTGTACCATATAGACTCGACGACTTTATACTGGGAGTTCGTCTTCTTCCCTTGCCTGGGAGCTCTACCATTCGTACATCTCAGTCAAAAGCAAAGGAGGCACGGTGAGAGTAAAGTGGTTTCTAAATTTACCGATGTTACGTCTGTGAGTACTGTGGAGCTTCTCAGCAGCCAAATTCTGTTTGTCCACCTCAGCACAGCTGCTCTCGCCACTGATACATTTTCCATTTTCAGTACTCCATCCGAACCTCGCGGTACAGAAAATGTATTTCGTATCAATCGCGACGCCAACCACTTCCACCATCGAGACAGGGTAAACGCGTCAGGACTTGATACGAGCTACAACCGTCTGGAGAACATCCATGACGATCAGAGCCATGCCCGCCTCTGGACGAGTGTCTGACGCCACTGCGACATCCGCGATTCCGCCAGTTCTCACTTTCCTAGGCAAATGAACAAGATCTTTGAGCGTGCCCTACACGCCTGATTTAGGCGACGCGAACACCCGCGACAGACTTTACCTTTTTATACTCATGCTGAAAGCGTTCGTTTTTTTCGGCAGCGCCCGTCAGGTCCCATTCTTACGTGGGATCATTTTGCTTTGATACCACGAAGGCTACGTTCTGTTGCTATATTCGAAGCATGATCCAGCTCACGGAAGTTTTAACCTTTCGTCTAAAGGATATATTTATTCGTCCCGGCTTTGAATGACCAGAGCGTCCAGCATCAGAAGCAATGGTGAGAACTTTACATTGGTATACCGAGACCAGACTGGGGCGCAGGTGGAGTTGTGCTCTCATTGCCGGATACTTACTTCAATGCGGGCTATTAGTATATCTGGCCCACCACTTCTTCTACCCTTCGCGACCAGTAGTTGACATAAGCTATGCAATTGTCCCGGAGACAGGCTACGTTAACTACGAGTCTACTTAGCCCTACCATTTTACTAGTACAACATATGCTCCTTAGGCAACTCCAAGATATCTACATTTGCTACCTTTAATGATAGAACGTGCGCTATCAGCCGACGTGTACCAAGGACCCCTTCTTTTCGGAAATTTATCATCTTCATGAATACCAATAATTTGGTATTTTTGAATGTATGAATGTGCAATCACACAAAATGACAGTAGTCACGATTTTTATAAACATTAAATTACACAAAAGTGAAATATGATTTTTTCACATTCTTACACAGCTAAATTTTTTTGCACATTTGTTCGTAAGTGTTAGATGCCTAATAGTGCCTGATAGTAGTAATTTTAGCTTAATTTTTTGAGCATTTTATTTTAGGGCGGGATCAGATAGTATGTAAATTTCCACAGAATTGACTAGAAGAAAACGAATCACTGCCACTATTCCATTACGCTGGTTCTTATCTACGACCATGTGGATGATAGCGATGTTGCGAACTCAGGCAATAATAATAATAACTATCATATAAAAAAGTATTTTGTAATTAAAATAAAACACAATGCTAGTAAGTACTAAGTGCTTCATCAAGATGCTCTAACTTTGTTAGAATAACAAATTAGAATCTACGTTCTGTTCGCCGATTAATTCTTCAACCGGCACCTGAGTCATCTCACCTTGGTCCGACCAGTCATAGCACGCTTTGCCTTCTGAGCCATCGCGAGGAATATACCAACAGTGTTTGGTTGCTACGCCTCCAATTGTCATGTTTTCCCACTTCTCAGTGAAATTCCAGTTCTTATCCGCTGTATGATACTGTAGCTGCAACCACTCTTTCGTTCCTTCAACTGACATAAAACCATATTCACCTCCATCATAAGCCCATATTTGTTTCGCGGATTTCGATGCAAAGGTCGGAATTTTACCCGCCGACTCCGACTTCATGCCGCCTCCAGCACCATTTTCAACAAAGTGCATTTTCAATGAATCCACATAATCGTGCTTCTCACCGTGGGTATGACCGTAGATAAAAGCGTGGATACCAGATCCTTTCAGTGCAGCAAACCACTTAAGCATACCGTCTAAATTGTAGTGTTGAATTGGACTAAAATGACTGTTTATAAGTTTCCACGTCGCATTCGACGTTTTTGCGTGTTTGGCCAGTCGCATTCGTGATTCATCGGCCCACTCAAAGAATTTGGCCATGCACGTATCGTACATGTCGTTATCTCCACCGCAACAATATTGGTCGCCACGAACGATACTATTACAACCAGAGCTGTCGTTTTTAGCGTACCCGTAACATTGACAACAAACTCCGTGTGAACCAGCGATAGCAGCATCATTCATATCGATGTTAAAGATGTCAATGCTTACACCAGTGGTAGCACTCTCGATACGACGCGTGTAAAACACATCCTCCAGAGCCCAGCGATTGTTGTTTGGACTCTTGTACTGCGCTTGGGCTTGAAACTTGAATTCGAGTCCTTCAAGCATTTCTTCTGTTGTGTTGCAGCGTACGAGGCTAGTGCCGTTATTGCAAATGTAATCTGCACCACCGTAATCATGATTTCCCATCACATTTACCCAAGGTACATTTTTAATGTTGTCACCATTGTAGACGGACTCAAACGACACATTGAAGCGCGAGTCACGGCTTTCAGGAGTATCGATACCCGTCCAGTATAAACTGTCACCGTGACCAAGGATTGCCAATGGCTTGGAAGTGTTACCAGCGTGGATGTCCATGAGCGTTGCGACGATTTTCTGGGCATGAGAATCGTAGTTAGTACAGCATGGTCCACCACCAAGAGGTGGACCCCAATCCCCGACAGCGTAAGCGGACACTACAGTCACCGGGTCCAACGTCGTGTTCGAATCAGCAGCCAAATAGAACATGGCAAATTATTGTCCACCAAGCAAGATTGAAAATGATGACTTGACTGTTTGTCGAGAAGATGAACGATGGGAGAGCATCATATCTCTCAATAGATTTGCGCCGTGCTTATAATTTCATAAAATACTGCATTAAGCGTGATCTTATCGCGAGGTGTTATGCTTACTTTTCTTAAAGATGACAAAAGAAAATTATATTTCAATTCATCGCTGCACATACAACCCATGCGACCTCAATGTCTGAAGGCCCTTTCAAAATTGAAAATCCAACTGTCGCGTCATCACTGGAGCGAAAAAATCGAAAGTCTTGATAAGTTTGTGCTCGTACATTGAAGTGACTCTGCTGCAATTTGAACAAGAACGAGATTAATGGGTCTCGCATGCAGATCTCAATCCACAAAGAAGATCACGTCTGGATTGAATTCGGATTTGGATCATTGCAGAAAGAACAAGATTGAATTGATCTACTGGATACCTTGAGGAGACGACAAGACACCTTCTTGTCTCAGGCAATTATTCATATCCCTTGCACCTTTTTGGCGTTTTTCTACATCAATTCTGCAATGCTGCCAACGCTGTGCGTACTCATGATTTTTGCCCATCCACATCCCAAGACGCATCTTATGGTTGTAAATTTGGTTGGATAGTGTGCCCAGATCTTACTAGGTTTTCGTTTAGATTTTTTCAATAGCATCTCGCGCATTTATTCGAAAAACTAAAGTGAGATGGGTAGGCCTGATAAGGGTGGGTTGGGATTTTTTGATGGGATCTGTAAATGTACTGTACTAAGCTAAAAATTATATTGTACAATTGGAGGAAATTCATATTATGCTTTTGTGCGATTGAAAATATTTATATGTATTGATATATTGACATGATGGGTGGGAGAAATGTAATATTGAAAAAAACTATATCTAATATACTTTAAGGAAATTGGTCCCAAAGTTATGTCACAATCGATTGCAACACACTTTCACAGACGAAGATTCGATTCAATGAGTTCGCATTAATAAACAAACAGCGATAAGCTTCATGTGCCTCTATCAAAATTGAGACTGAGAGCTTTTATTTAAGACGCAAGAATATTTATCTGGAATTAATGCAGCTCAAGCAAATACTATAAGATTCGTTTTCTCATTTCCTCCAGTAATATGCCAATATTTTCTGACATGCGACTGACCTCAATGTCGATCTTTATGAATACCGGTAATCTCGTACTTATAAATATTCACAATAACACAAAGTTGTAATGTAAATCTCGCACAATTGCAATTGTACCAAATGAGTAAATGCTGAATTTAGAAGACGCACCCGCTTCACTCACGCATATTCGTCGATTCAGAGGCTTCTCTGTGCAAGGTGAACGGACACCTGTTGCACTTGGTAATACTGATAGTCAGTTCGACGACTGAGTCGTAGAATACTGCATCCCTGTGAGCAAAAACACGAGTTGTTCACCTATTTCTGAAACAACTGAGAGCGCCTGGTAAGCTGATGTCTATCGTAGGGTCTGACGTATAAAAATATTTGCGGCCCAAGGACTCGAAGCGGTAATTGGTCACCTGGAGGTGTTCAACAGCAATAAGAATGTGCGGGTAAGACATCTTAAGGAACACATCATATGACCGACAGTGAGATTGCAACCGATGTTGAGTGTCCACTTATTCGACGGCGGAGTCAGTTTCTTGAATGAGGGGAGTTGAGAAGGTCATGGACTCGGACATTATTAAGACGGATAAACAATCTAATTTGTTTGTCGTCTCAAAGTTAGCAAGCCGAGCACCTCTTGTACTCTTTTTGGTCAGAATCGAAGCAACAGATGTCGCGGGAGTTCACCCTTCCTAACCAATCATTTCTGGTGCGTTCAAAGATCTAATATATCTGTGAAGGGGGGTACTTACGCGCAAAACACATCCAGGAGCTGGAAGCGCCCATTTGCAATAGCGATAGACGATCACCCAGAAGCGAAAGCAAATACCATTTTTATGGAGGGCGTCACATGTAACGGGGTTACACGTGCCCCTGTCAGGAAGGGCGGGTTGCACAAGATTGTGCGACCTTACATAAGTGTGTATAACACAGTTAGTGTAATAACACATTGGTGTGGCTACACCGTAGCAAGAAGCCATCGCGTGGCACGATCGCCGGTAGAAATACATACTACTATGTTTATTAGCTTCTGCTATAAAAGTACTACTACATTAATTTGGTGAAGCTAGGGTCATAGATATCGGCGGCTCAACCGCAAATGAAACAACTAAATACAGTTTTAGTCTTGAACAGAAGTGTCCATTTGCCGTGGTTAAGGCTTTAGTACTTAGAAGTAGCGGATTGTGATTCGCTACACTCGTACTGGTTCTTGGAAAGAACGTAAGGTCGATGACCTTAGCTTAGCTTCCTCTAAGCAAAGAGCTACGTAGCACTCGTTGATAATCTACGCCTGAGTTTTTACGACTGATCCTCTGTGAGGATGAGATATTCTCCTATTTGCCCCAGGGCTTGCGGTACGGGCTTAATTAGCAGATGTCCCTGCGGGACCCTGAGGGCATGGAACACCTAATTGCGCAAGAGCCCGAAGCTATAAGCGCGCACCTAGAGGCATTTTCAAGTTCTGAAAATGCTCTGTTAAAGCACTTACAGCAGGAGCTGTCAGCGTCAACTGCGTCTGTTACGCCACCGTCGACAACGGATGAATCCTTCCGACCTAAACCGCTCATGGTGAGCGTTAAGTCCTTCGAGGATAATGATAGATAGAATCTCCTATTCTAAATAAGAGAGGCTGAGATTGTTATGGCATCCACTATGCTCTAAAATGAGTAACAGCGCATGGCGCTAGCGTTCTCCAAGCTCGGGGGCCGAGCGCGAGAATGGACTTGCTTCGGGTGAAGCAACGTTCTCTCCTGTAGGAGCCAAAGCGTCAGCTCCTGTGAGTGTTATCGCCGCCCAATCAGGCATACAGCGTGATATCGCGTTTCCTTGCTACCCGACAGGACAAGGAGAAGTTGGTGAACATTGTCCAAGAGTTCAGAGCTCTTATTGCCGGAATGAATGGCAGCAGACCCTTTTCTCGGACGGTCAGTGAACTTCTTTATGGAGGGCCTCCGCACTGGCATGAAGAATGGAAGTCGTACGTGTGCATCCGTCTTCTTTTGAATAAGCGGTGAACGTGGCATTGAATGCCAAATTCAGCTTCGAGTTAACACGACTTGGTTGGAATACACAGCCTCAGAGCTCGTCGAGCGGGCATGAGTCAGTGAACTTCAGCTATGCTGAGAAGGAGGAGGGATGGTTCCAAGCTGCTGAGCAGTGTTTATACACCCGACGGTGTTTTGTTTGTGGAGACACCCGCCCCCTTCAGACGGGATGTCCCTTGCGCAAGGCGCGTAAAGTTCGTCAAACTGACGTCCCGCTTCTTACCAGCCATAAACGAGAAAAATCCGTGAGGCGCGGGGCGTCCTACTTGAGGAAAACTGAGTTTGGTTGAGCCTTAAAAATGTAGAGAGCAGCAGGGCCCGAGCTCCGTGCTCTTGAAAAGGGAACGTGTGTGCAAGCCGGACTTGCTGACCGTAAAAGCAACCATGGAGAGCTTTGATAAGCCATGGAAGGTTCTTATCGATTCCGGGGTGTTGGGCAATTGTGCTCGATCGAATGAAGTCAGCTATTTGCTGACGCTGGAAGCGCGGTTGAGTTACACTGTCACTGTTCGCTTAGAGCCGGTGACTTGTGTCACTGTGCCGAGGGTTCCTGTGGAACTCGGTGTCAGGTTTCTTAAATTTGATGGCGTAGAACGCTGCTTAGTCTTAGACTTGGAGACGAGGGTATGACCTTATTCTTGTATGGCATGGCTGGAACACCATGAGCCATGGATTGATTAGAGGTCGGAGACGCTAGGCGCGACGCGCACGTCTCCTGGTGGAGCTTTGGTAAGTTATGGATCCACCTCTGCTAGGACGCAAAAGCTCTATTGGCATCGGGCACTGGACCGGGACGGTCAATGTGCTGGGTATCGGAGTATCTGAGTTGTCAAACACGAGAGGCGTACAGGAGAAGAGTCCCGAGCATGGCTCGCGGGCTAAACGTGGAGTGGCACGTAGCCCACTGAGCACTGCTCACGTTACGAATCAGTTGCTGGATGCCAAAAGTGGCACGGTCGGACGGGGTCCGAGGCATCGAGGGCGAGGCCCTTGTGATGCGCGTGTAGTGGCATGTAATCCGCTGGACGAAGACTTCGGGAATGGCATTTCTTCGTCGAATGTTGCTAATAACATCAAGGCTCCGATAAGGCAGGGAGTGGAGACGCTGGATGACGCCGAGTGCGTGTTCCAACTGGTCTCGATGAGACGTAAAACCTCTATAGAGAGAAGACGGCAAAGCCGCATGATATCTGCAAGACGCAGGGCGTCGACTCTGACCCAGGGTGTGTATACCGTAGTCGATAGCGCACAGTTATATACCCTTGTCAGCGGTATGTCGGAAGAGAAAGTCGGCGACGTCGCCCTCGAGGCTATTCCCGCGGTGGATGCTCCTCTTGAGATGGACTAGATGTTCTTCGAAAAGTTTAGCGGTGCCTTAAAGGCAGGCAATTTATCCGAGGCGGTCATTATACGATCGAACGAGGAGATTAACCTGTCGTCGCTTCTGCATGAAGCTGTCTTATAGGAAACTAAGAAGGTGCTGAACGCACGAAGTGGATCGTCGATCCTGAAGAATCCTTTATTTTTTGGTAAAGGAATTCCAAGACTTCGTATCCAAAGATCCGCCGTCGGTCCTACCTTTGGAACGAGTTGTGAGTCATGAGATTGACCTGGTTCCGGAAATTAAATACTGCAAAATACGCCAGTGGCCTCTGACCAGAAAGCAGCGTGACGTCATTGAGGCCTTTTTCCGAGCAAAGGACGACGCAGGAATGGTGCGTGAGAGCAAGTCTCCTCATTCGACACCACGCTTTATGTCCGGAAGCCGAACGGCATTTGGCGTAATGCTCACGCTTATAATAAACTGAA